TGTGAATACAAATTTTCATATAAAACATGCACTGTATAACACCAACATTCCGGAAATGACACCTCACCGACGACGAGCGCGAGGCCATCCTTCGGGAGGTCATGCTTCGCAGCAACGGCAGCTACATCACCAGGCTGCCGAAAGGTTTCAGCCAGGAGCTGGCAGACAACGTACAAGAGCCACGTTTCCACTATTCGCCGGGTCCTTGCAGTTGCGAAGCAGCAGGGAATCGGTGGTGGCAACATGAAAGTAACTGTTGCCAGCAAGATGAAGGGCAGAGTGGGGAGGAAGAAGGTGTTCACTGCAGAGCAAGTTAAAGCAAAGCTCTTGCAAGTACCTCTTGCTCAACCCACCACGCTTCGATCCATTTCGGAACGCACAGGTGATAACATGCAGTGAATCCATGGTATCTCATCTCATTGTAGGAATAAGTTTGGGATCATCGCATCCATACCTTAAACTTGGCTTGTTTCGTTCACACTCCAACGCAATTAAACCACTCCTCACAGACGCAAACAAGTATGGTCGGATGAAGCATGCGGTCGAGTTCGTTGGCTCCACGTTAGAGCTGAACGACATGCTGCAGTTTGTTCACTTGGACGAGAAATGGTTTTATATTACAAAGGTGAGTCGTAAGTATTATCTCGTGCCTGGTTAGAAAGAGCCAAAACGCGAGTGCAAAAGCAAACAGTATATTACGAAAGTCATGTTCCTTTGCACGGTGGCACGTCCACGCTACAACCACACGACAGACAGCTGGTGGGATGGCAAGATCGGTATTTGGCCCTTTGTCGAGCCCGTGGCAGCGCAGCGTGATAGTGTGAACCGCAAAGCCGGCACCCTCGAAACAAAGTCAATCACCGTGACAAAGGACGTGTACCGTACATTTCTGCTGGACAAGGTCTTGCCTGCAATCGTCGCCAAATGGCCGTACGCCGATCACACCATCAAGTTGCAGCACGACAATGCTGGCGCACATGCCACGCCAGAGGACGCGAAACTCAAGGCGGCCCTGGACACGTACAAGGCACTCGGCTGGTATATGTCGCTCGCCCCACAGCCGCCAAACTCACCCGACACGAACGTCTTGGACCTCGGCTTCTTTGCTGCCATCCAATCACTACAGCACCGCAAGTCAGCACGTACAATTGACGAGCTCGTTGGCCACGTGGAGAGTGCATTCGTCGAGTACCCCTTGGCGCGTTTGAATCACACGTTGACGCTGCAGTCCTGCCTGGTGGAGACCTTGAAGCTGTTCGGCGACAATGCCTACAAGGTGCCACACATGTCCAAGGAGAAGGAAGAGCGCAAAGGAATGCTACCGCAAAACGTGTCGTGCCCGAGGGATGTCTTCGAAGCAGCCAAGGTCAGGTTGGATGGCGTGTCGTATGCTAAGCTGGACTGTTTCCTAGCAGCCGAACTGGAGGAGGCTCGTTGCATCGACGAGCTCGCGCAGGCACTCGAAACCATTGCGCTGGACGACGACGAGCCGGACGACATCATGTCTGCCCTGTGTGACGCAGGAATCGATCCCATTAGTGTAGAAGATGACGAGTAAGCACCTATGGGTATGTGTGTTGGTATTGTGGATGGTCGTTGTGCTCGTTAGGAGGGTTCCTGAGGTAAACCCCCCTCCTGCATCGAATGGCAATGTCAGAATTGGTCAAAGCCGTCATTTGATTGGTCCTGAGACACAGATTTCACATTTTGCATGCTTTGATTGGACGATTGTATCGTTGCACCTGTATAATTACATTCTGGATTATTTGATATTGGAGGGTTTGTATTTTTATTCGAGGAGGCGTACATCCATTTTCTGATTCGCGCAATTATTTTGGAACGGAGGGAGTATTCATCAGTCATAATAATTGAGACGTAGAATCGACAGATCTCAAAGTAGTGAAGAAATTCTACATCTCAGATTCAAATTTGGTGATGAATTGGTCCATAAATAGATATTTAACCTAGCGGTACTCGAAGTATTTTGCATGGCCGCTGAGATGTATCTAGATTTTTATGTGACTATACTCCGTATATAATATCCGGAGGCGATTGGGACCTTTAACTTCCCACTACAGGGATAAAACGCATGAAATTTAGCATTTTTGGTTTTTGGGTTTAACTACATTAAATGACTTGTGTTAATGGAATTCGCAAGGTGAGCCACCTTGCTACTTTTAATATCCAATTAGAGTCCATCACACCTTGCTTCTTACACACGATTGGCTATAATACTGGCAGAGAGGTTACAATTTTGAACTGTTTGAATTTTGTAGAGCTTTGTGTGATGCTGCTCGAGAGAATTGTGCACTGATGAGTTCACTCCGACTATATCCAATGTGGTTCTTCCCTTACAGCTAACATTATGTTGTGGCCTCGGTTGGGTCGCAATGCCGTGACAGCTCTGGTGGACCAATGCGGTGGCGCGAGACGTCTTGGTACAGTAGGAACCCATCGCAAATGCTGAAGTGGCGGCTTCAGCACTTGCGATGGGTGCCACCAAGACGTCTTGCGCCACCCGCCCGCGCAACCATGTGACTACTCCACTAGGGAGGTGTACGGTATCGACACGGACTGATGGTGGAATGTGGGATGACCACATTCATTGGTTTAATAGGCAAGTGGTGATGTTACTGAAGTCTAGACCTGTTCGAATTGACCGAGTCCGGGATACCACATCGCATGATCTTGCTCTCATACACAGCCTACATAATTATCTCAATGCTCCTTGCATCAACCGCCAACACAGGAGTAGAATATATCACAACAGGGTGTGATGAATCTACGCAGCGATTTTCGTGATTTCATGGCATCTGATTGGACAAATTGGACAATTTTGAATTCGCAAGGTGACCTGCCTTGCGAATTCCAAAAAGAGACAGACACATGAAAAATAGAAATCATCAATACAAACGTGAAGATATATTTAATTGAATCTGTACAATTTCAGAATTATTTATGGAATTCGCAAGGTGGTTCACCTTGCGCAGCATACAAAATTGCCTATATCACCTTGCTTTTTCTGGTTAATGTACGTTAAATAATAAAACCTCCACTCTTCGATTTGGCCAGTTCGAAGTTTTTATATGACGTGCACCATACAGTGACCCCGTATATCTGGGATTAACATATTTGATTCTAAATGCAACCAATAGGTCACCAAACCAGTTTGTCGTCGATTTGGAAAGAATGTGAATGACCCAGGTATGGCCTCGAGTTTATATAATATCCATAAGCAACTGATTGAAAACTGAACAACTACCCAAATGGAATAAAATGTACGCAAAGACGAATCATCAGCACAAAGACTCAGTTATTTCGTATTTCACGAGGTGGTAAACTAAAATCAAGCAATTCGGAAACTAGGACCGAACATTAATAATAATAATTACTTCTTATTTATACTTGATGTTTGTATGCCAAAAAGTTAAAAGTTATTAATATA